AGCGTAGCGGGCAAGAAGGGACAGGTGGCATCAAAGGTTGGATCGTGCAGCCGATCTTTCTGCGTGCGCGTGTAGGCCGCCAGGGGGGACAAGCCTCTGCGCGCGCCTACAAGCTCGCGGGCCAACGCCCGAAGCTCCATGATCAATGCTTACCAACCAATCGGGACCGAACCCACCGCGCCATTGGAGGGCGTCGAGGGCCGTGGCCCGCGGCGGGCCCTGGACGGGCGCACTTTGAGCCCTTTGTTGGGCACTGGCAGAAGCGAGATGAACCAACGCATGCCGACGTGTCCGCGCGCGCCGTCGATGTTTGTAGCGCGCGCGAGCTCGGCAGCTCTCACTGCTGCCGCTGCTAGCCAGGGAATTGCGTGTCCGCGCTCGCCTTCCAGAGCCAGGCCCCGTTCCGAACCGACGCCGCTGTCCAGAAACAGTTAGTGCGAGGTGCCTTTGGAGGCCTCGCGATGGTTCGTCGCGGATTGGAGGCTCCTTGTAGCGAGTGGCGGTGCCAGCATCGTGCGCGCGCGCGTTGGCAGGTGATCCCGCTATCTGATTGACGCGGTTTGTACGTTTGTGATGTTTGCTTCGTGCGTGTGCTGTGCCCGGTGCGGCACGCTGCGCCTCGCGTGCTTGGCCTGCCGCTGGTTTGCCCGGCGCGCGCGTGGCGCGCGCGCGTTGGTCGAGGGCGGCCCTCGATTTGTTTCGTGTTTGTTCCAGGCCCTCCTGCGCGTCAGGTCTTCGCTTGCGCTTTTCGCTTCATCCCTTCTGTTTGTCTCTCCTCTCCTCTTCTCCTCTTCTCCCCCCCCTCTTCCTGATTTTTTTTCCGCTTCGTGTCCTCATCTCCCATCCCCTTTTATATTGCGTGGTATGTCTTCGTTTTGTGGCCGCGCCGCGGCAATTTCAGCGCGCCCTTCGCGCCGCGCGCTGTTCGTTGTCCCCGAGCGATTTGTTTTTGAAAGTCCCTGTGGTGCGCACCGCGCGCCAGTGCCGCGACTAGTCTAGCGCGCCCATCGCGCAGTTCGCGGCCCCATGTGCAACCCTGCCGACGCGATGTGGCCGCGCGCCGCCTCCCCGACCATTCCTGATCAACGTTCGCAGGTTTCGTGGCCCCACGAGGAGCTCGACCGAAATCCCGCAGAGCACAGGCCGCACGCCGCGGCCCAGATTATTTGAGGCCGCCCATCTCGCGGTTCGCGGCTCCATATTCTTGGAATTCCATCGACGACCCCTGCGGCGCAGGCCGGGCGCCGCGCCCGGGCCATTTCGTTTCGCCCGCCACGCCATTCGTGCCCCCATAGGGAGCACCACCTGATGCGTTGTGGCATAGGCCGCTGGCCACCGCCCAGACCATGTCAGCCCATTCAGAACACGATTCGCGCACCCCCGGGGAGGTCTACATTTTTTTTCCACCGGACGCATGCCACCGCGCAGACCGTTGCAACAGGCCCATCGAACGGTTCGCGGCCCCATACGCAGTCCCCCAAGGGTTTTGTCGCACGGGGCGCATGTTGCCGCCCAGACTATTTCAGATCGCTTGTCATGTGTTTCGTGGCGCCATTAAAAGGGTTCCGCCGAAGACGCTTGCGTCGCAGGCCGCGCGCCGCCGCCCAGACCACTTCAGCTGTCCTCACGCGATCTGCGGCCGCATTCGGAAACTCCATTGAAACGTTTTCAGGCACAAAACGCACGCCGCCGCCCAGACCATTGAGCACGCGCCCCTCGCACTTCGTGGCCCCATATGGAACCCCGCCGAAAGAATTTGCGGCGCGTGCCGCATTGCGCCGTACAGACCATTTCAGCAACATTGCTCACGTGCTCAGTAGCCAAATTTGGAGCGCAGGCCGCATGCCGCCGCCCCCAGCCAATTCAGCGTTGCCTCTCGCGGTCCGTGGGCCCATGCGGAGTTCCACCGGAGAATGTTGTGGCGCAGGCTGCTCGCCGCCGCCCATGCCACTTCGTCGCAGTCTTCGCGCGGTCGGTGGTTTCGTGGGGGGCTCCACCGAAGGCCCTTGTGGTAGATTTCGCATGCGGAGTCGCGCGTGTCGGGCGGTCTTGTCTATTTTTCGCACTGCGTTCAGACATGGTTGGCTTTTCGCAGGGTGTATTTTGTCTCGGAGGGGCAAAGGGAAGATGCGGGCAAATGGGCCAGCACGATGGGCAGGAGCGACGACCAAGGTCATTATTGGAAGGATGATGCGGGCGAGGGGCGCCTCCGATGATTGGCGCTCAGACTACGCTGTTTCCAGCCTTTGAGCGAGCAGTATCTCCCAGTTACATTCTATTCTGGCGAGGCTCGGAACTGACACTGTGGGCGGACGGCGCTGGGGGAGGGATCAACGAGGGAGGTTTAGGAGCAGAAATGAGGGGGGGAGGGGCAGAGACGGGGGCGGCGGGCAGGGTTGGGGGTGGGGGCCAGAGGGCTTGCGGGGGAGCCCATTGGAGGCTCCGCGAGGGCCCCCATGGGCCCGCGGTGGGTCCGGACTCCCCCCCCCGCGGTGGGTCCGGACTCCCCTCGGCATCGTTTTTTTCCACGTCTGAGAAGACTGCCGAGGGGAGTCCGAACCCACCGCGGCCCCCATGGGCGCTCCCGCGGCGGTGGGTCCGGACTCCCCTCGGCAGTGGTTTTGGACATGTCTGGGGGGCCTGGCACGGGCTCGGCAGGGCCCCCTGGGGCCTTCGATTCTGTTGCGACTGGGGATCCAAAGTGCTGTTTGGGTCCCAGAGTTGTCGTGTCGTTCGGGGTGTGGGCGGGGGAGTATGTTGCCTCCAGATTACGCCGCACTGGGTGCGCGAGAATGAGCTTGTGGAGCCTGAGCGGGGCCTGCAGTGGGCCGTCCTGGAGCTGTTTTGAAGTCTTGTAGCAGTGCCATGTTAGGATTTCGTGTTTTTTCTTTCGGTGGGCATCTTGGCGACTTGGCGGCTCTCTGGCGCCCAATGGGGATCGATGGGCCGTTTTGGAAGCCCTGGGATTGCATTGCAGCGGACTCCGTTTGCCTTCGCGCCGTCGTTCGCACGCCGTGGGAACGACGCGGAGGCATTTTAACCAATCGAAGAGTAGTGTGAAGGAACTTTTGGAGGCCGTAGTTTTTTCTCAATCCTCCTGTCCGTTGGGTCTTCGTTGGGAGCCCGGAGCGCTGAGCGCCTCATCTCCTGCCTTCCCCCTCCTCTACCACCGCCTCCTCCTCCAGACCGCTTCAGTCCGTCATCATATATCCTCTTCTCTCCTGTGTGGTCGGTCTTCGCTTAGGAGTATCCGCCAATGCAGTTCCGCGCACCTCTCGAACGATTCGTGGCCCCATAGGGCTCCGCCGAAGGCCCCTGTAGCAAGGGCCGCTCCCTTCTGCCCGATGCCAATTCAGCGCGCACCCCGCGCGGTTCGCGGCTCCTGAAAGGGCGTTGCGCCGAACATTCTCGTAGCAAAGGATGCGCACCGCCCGTCCAGATCACGTCAGCGGGCCCCTCGCTCGATTCGCGGCCCCATCGGATAGCATTCCGAAGGCCTTTGAAGCGCAGGCCACTTGCCAACGCCCAGACAATTCCAGTTCCCCCCTCGCAAAGTTCGCGGCCCCATTGGGAGTTCCACCGAAGGTCTTTGTAGCGCAGGCCGCCCGTCGCCGCCCAGTCCACCCGAGTTCTTTATTCACGCGGCTCGTGGCCCCGAAGGGGGCCCCGCCGAAGCTTCTGGTAGCGCGGGCCGCATGCCGCCGCCCAGACCGCTTCAGGTCTTTATTCACCCCGTTCGTGGCGCCATAGGAAGTTCGGCTGCCGACCAGCAGACATGTTCAACGCAATTCTTGCGCGCGCCGCGGCCTCGTGGAGGTTTACACCGAAGGCTTGTGATGCGCGCGCCGCACGTCGCCACCGACAGTATTGCGGCGCACTCTCACGCGGCTCGTGGCCCCACTGGATGCAGCGCCGAAGGATTCTGTCGCGCTGGCTGCTTGTCGCCGCTCAATCCAATCCAGCACCCCCCCTCACGCAGTTCGGTGCCCCATAGGGAGCTCGGCCGAAATTCTCTGTCCCGGTGCAGGCCGCATGCCGCTGGCCAGACTATTTCAGTTTATAGTTCTTGCAGTTCGGGGTCCCATGCGGCGCCCCGCCGAAGGCTTTTGCGGCGCAGGCCGCTTTGCGCTATTTGGACTATGTCAGCACGCCCTGATACGGTTCGTGGCCCCACAGAGAACGTCACCACATTGGTTTTGAAGCACAGGTCGCTTGCAGCCGCCCAAACCATTGCAGTAGGGGAGCTCCACCGAAGGCCCACGTAGCACAGGCCGCGCGCCGCCGCCCGGACCATGTCAGCGCAGTCTTCGCGCGGTTCGTGGCCTCCAGGGGGGGTGCACCGAAGGTTGTTGTGGCAGAGTCCGCATTCACACTCGATGTGCTGGCGTGCGTCGCATACGAATTGCGTTCTGAAAAACGGTTGGCTTCTTCGCAAGAGTGAGTATAGGTGAAAATGTGTGGGGTTCGTCGTGAAGTTTTTCATTGAACGTGTAGAACTGCGCCCCGAAAAGAAAACGAGTTTGGCGTTTGGACGGCCGGCAATGTAAGTCATGCCCAAGTTGCAACGCGCACTCTCTTGAGCTTAGCATGAGAGGTGCCTTCAACGTCAGCCCCGATCTTGGGCAAGCCACGCGCGGCGCTGCAGACATTCCGCAAGACCTACTTCACCACAAGTATGCGTGAGGACCGCTTATAGTGGTACACACCTGCAAAACGCGCAAGGCAACACAATTGTTTTGTTTCGCTTCGCGACGACAGAACTACATTGTGGACCAGCAAGACACATTACACATGACAGCAACACCGTAGCACATGATGCAGCCAGCCCTGACTACCCTCGGAGGACGCGGTGGGTTCGGTCCCGATTGCTTCGTAGTTACTCACATGAGGGTGGCATTCGCAAGACCGATGACCCCAGCTCCCTGGCTACCTGACGGCATGACACCAGTCCGCCACAGGGCCCGAACCTTCAACCCCCCAGCCCGCCTAAGGGCACGGAGCCTACCACGGCGCCCCAAGACCACCCAAACGTTTTCTCTCCTGTGCTCTGTGGGCGGTGCCACCCGCGAATGAATCATGCCCTAAGTTGCGTGCAGAACGGGGCGCAGACAGCTTGCACATCGCAGCGTGCGCCTTGACCGCCCGCGCAGCCTCCCGACGTCCGCAGCACCAATCGTTAGAAACAGTGTCCACTGGCTGGCATCGGGAGGGCACTCCAAGCGCCGGCAGCCATGGATCGCCCGCCCGTGGAACTGGCGACGCCGGGTGGCTTCATAGTTTCACAGCGCCTGGCGGCTGTAGCGTCGGCGCCTACTGTTCCTGCCCGTGCGCCTCTGACGTGCACGGCGTTTCCTTCTTCTTCTGCTATCGCCGTTGAGGAAGCTGGCCGACGCCCACTCAGTCCAGCTCTTGTTCCTATTATGCGGGCCCAGCTTTCGTGCAATGGCTGAAAGTCCGCCCAGGCGGCGCTCTCGCCTCGGCGCGGGCAGCACGCCGCCAGCGTCACCTGCATGCCGTGGCCAATTCAAGAGCGAATCGTGAGGATGTCTCAGCAGATACTGGCTTTCTTGGTTCAGATGGCGGGCTGGACGCGGAGCAGGGGTCCGACGGTGATGGCGGAACACTGCGCAGGCAGTTGCACGTCTCGTGGAGTGTGTTGCGATGTTTATTCCCATGTTTTGCGTCGTGAAGTTTGTTATCCGTGTCGCGCCTCCCTCTGCTCACTCCCTCCTCCTCCTCCTCCTCGTCGTCCTCCTCCTCCTCCGCTTTCTCTTTCCTTCTATATCGCGATCAGAATCATCGCGATGCGAAAGGCATCGTGCTTGGGCAACGCAAGGGGGTGCCGCCAGGGGATAGGTCACGTGCCGGTTCGTGCCCAGATTGTTTGGGATTTCTCCAGCGGTTCGCTTGTTTCACGGATGTAGGCGTATCTTTTTTCAGGGCCGCGTGGTGCTCGCGATGTCGCTAGTGGCCGCTAGGGCGCGTGTTCAAAATTCTTCACTCTGATCCGGGTGGGGGGTGGGCTCAGGATGGCGTCTCGTTAGCCTCCTCCGGACGTAGCCGTTTTGGCTCAAGCCGGCGAGTTGCGAAACGTTGGAGTGGCCTTAGTTTGCCAGGGACACAGATCGCTGCCAGCAATGTCCCTCTTCCCGCCTGCAGCGCCCGCTGTGGGGCCCGCGGTAGGGTTCGCGGGGCCGCCCCGCGCGGCGGGCGGGGGGGTGGCGCGGCAGAGGGCGGTGCCAGATCGAGGAGGCCAGACGGGGCAGGCGGCGCGTCAGCTGGGGCGACGGCCGCGCTTCGTGGTCTCACCTTCGGCGCCGCTGCCAGGTCGCTGGGCTCCCCCGAGGACGTCCTCAAGCCTTGCGTGGAGGCGCTCGGGGGCGCGTGGGAGAGCACCGCCGTGAGCGACGTGCGCGGCAGCCTCGACGGCGACATGTGCGCGGCGCTGTGGTCGGTTAAGACCGAGGAGGGCGTCGACATCACCCTCGTCGCGCGCGGCCAGCTCCGCGCCTCGTTGCGGGGCCCGGCGCAGGCGGTGGGGCTGCCCCCCCCGCTCTTCGGCGACATGCCGGCCCTGGTCAGCCAGGGGCCCCTGCAGGCGCCGCGGGCCGCGGCGGCGGCGCCGGCGCAGCAGCCCGAGGTGTGCGAGATGAGCAGCGTCATCGACCAGGGGTCGAAAGTCAAGTTCACGATGCTCCTCGCCCCGAAGCTCAAGGAACTCGGCGCGAACTACGTGCGGGAGACCTGGGCGCCCGCCCAGGGACAACGAGGACACGACAGACGTCCAGCTCTCGGCGCTGGCCGCCCGGCTCGCCGCGGGCGAGGCGCCGCGCGTCGACTTCAGTGTCTTCGGCCCCGTTGGGAAGCGGATCCAGCGGCTCATGAACTTCCAGGCCGACGTCTGGGTGAGCGGCCAGCTGGTGAAGAAGAAGCTCGCCGGGCCATGGAACTTTGAAACTTGGCGGAAGGGCTGGCGAGTCTTCCGCGTGGCGGCTATCAAGCTCCAGCTTTCGAGGCCGGGTCCCATCGTCGATTTTGAGGAAGCGGTGCGGCTCCTCAACTCGACCTTCCCCCGTGACTGGGGGGCCGTCTTCCTGGCCGTCTGCCGCTGCTCGGGGGGGCGCCGGGAGCAGGTCCGCACGAAGATCGAGGGCTTGCTGGAGAAGGGCAAGTTCCAGGGCGACTTCGACTGGGGGCGCCCCTGGGAAGCCGCATTCTCCTACGCGACCTACGACAGCGGGCAAGATTCGCAGTGGTGGGAGATCCACCTGGAGTTCCCATGCCTGAACGGCAGGGCGGGCGGCCGCTCTCGCACGTCGGAGGTCGAGGGCGGCCCGTCAGCCGTCGACCAGATCGAACGGCAAGCCGATAAGCGGGCCGCGGACCACCGCGGCGACGACGCTGAACGCCCCGCGGGCGCTGGGTCGAAGAGGGCCAAGAAGGCGAAGTTTCATTGGCAGCAGGTCAGGGACAACAGCGCGGCCGCAGAGACCAAGGACGGCCGGTTCACGAAACGCCGCGGCGTCGAGTTGCGCTTCAACTGGAACCGCAGCGCCCACGATTGTTCGGAGCCCTGCCCAGCGAAGCGGCAGCACGTGTGTGAATGGTGCAAGGGGCCGCACCAGGCGATCGATGATTCGCGCCCGGCGCCGAAGCGCCCCGAGGGCTGGCGCCCGGGCAACAGGGGCGGCGGCAAGGAAGGGGGGGGGCCCCCCGGTGACCGGCGACTAGGCCGCGGCCCCAGTACCTCGACAAGGACGGCCTCTTCAAGGCCGGGTACCTCAACAAGCATTGCCCCAATAAGGTCTGCCCCAATAAGGTCTGCGCTGGCGGCTCCAGAGCCAGTCGCGTCGCCCCGCGCCGCGCCAGCGCCTGAACCGCGCTGTCGCGAGCTTGCCCGCTGGCCCCCAGCACCTGGGCCCCCGGGGCCCCCGGGGCCCCGGGCCTCGCGGCCCGCCGGGCGCGCTGCCGGCGCTGCCGGGGGCCCCGCCGGGGCCGCCGGGCGCGCTGACGACGCAGCCAGGGCTCGCGCGCTGCCGGGGCGTCGCGGATTGGCCCGCGCGTTGGGCTCCCACCTCGGCGCCCTGGCGAAGCTGCAGCGTCGGCTCGGGGAGCTCCGCGCCCTCGTGGAGGCCAGCGGGCGCAGCGCGGCGACGCTCCGGCCGCAGCTCGTCCGACGCCGCCCGCGCTGGCGCAGCCGGCTGGCTACCCTGGCCAGGACATGTGGGATCGGAGACGCCCGCGGCCCCATCGACCACCCGGCGAGCCTGAGGGCCCATCCGCGCGTGAGGAGCGGTCGGCCCACGATGCCCTCTCCAGGAGGTCATGGCGGCCGTGCGGGCGGCCCTCCTGCGGGCGCGGGCACGTGAGCCCGCCCTGGTCGGGATGGTGGGCGCGTGCGGGGAGCGGCCCTCTCGCGCGCCCCCGCCCGCGTCTGCCGTCGCGTCCGCCCGCGCCGAGGTGGCGGCGGCCCTGGGCTTAGGGGTGGCACCGGCCGAGGAGCACCATCCGTCCTCCCCACTGCGGCACGACATCTTCGCGGAGTGCGCCCGCCGGTCGAAGGGCCCCGACGTGTACGTGCCCGTCTGGCTCAGGGAGGGGGCCCCGGTGGGCATCCGGCGAGCGATCGCCCCCGGCGGCCATTTCCCGTTGGCGGCAGCAGAGGCGACCCTTTCGGTGGGCGCCTTCCGCAGGGAGTCTTGTTTATCATGGAACCAGCCATCGCTCGTTCGTGGATGATTTCGGCGAGAACGAGGCGCCGACGCTTCCCCCTCGTCCGGGAGTGCCTGGAGAAGGGGTTCGTCCGAGCATTCCCGTTGTTTCGCGAGGCCGCCGAGGAGGTCTTCGGGGCCGCGTATCCCGCCCCGCTCGGAAACGCCCGGAAGCGGAAGCAGGGCGGGGACGGCTGGAAGAACCGCATCATCCAGGACTTGAAGGCCTCGCGTGTGAACCTTCTCAGCTCCACTCCCGAGCGGGCGGTGCTGCCCCGTGGCATCGACCGCGCCGTGGACATGGCAACCTTCTTTACGGCGGACGGAGCCGACCACGGGGGGATCTTCGTCATCGACTTCTCAGACGCCTTCATGTCTTGCCCGCTCCACGAGAGCGAGCGCCCGTGCAGTTGCGCCGATGTGCGTGGCCTCGAGGCGGAGGGCGACTACGCGTTCATCGTGTGGGCGGTGCTTTGTTTCGGGGGAAATCCGAATCCCCTCGTCTGGGTCCGCGTGGCCAGCGCGGCGGCGCGGACCGCGCAGGCGCTGGCGCTGAGCGGGGGCCTGCGGCTCCAGCTGTGCGTGGACGACCCGGCGCTGGCGGTGCGCGGCCCTCCGCGTGCGTGCGAGCAGGAATTCGATGTGGCCTTGCTGTGGTGGCTCGTTCTCGGGCTGCGCATCGCGCGGAAGAAGGGCCGCCGCGCGCGCGGGCCCCTTCCGCGGGGGCCCGAGTCCGGCCCTGGAGCACGAGTGGATCGGCATTCGCTTCGGGATGGCCGAGGACTGCGCCATACTGGGGCTCGCCCACGACTTCAACGATGAGTTGCTGGAGCTCCTCCGCCACTTCATGGCGAAGAAGGGCCATGCGCCGATCAAGCAAGCGAGGTCGTTGGCGGGAAGGGCGGACCGGGTTGCTCTGATCATCCCGGTCGCGACCCCGTTCGCCGCGGCCATGTGGGCGGCGCTGACGGGGGCCCTCCGCCAGGCGAGCGCGGGGAAGCGGGAGTCTCCGCCGAACGCGGTGCCGCTCCAGCGCTTCTTCACCGCGGCTCGCTGGTTCCGCGCGTTGCAGGAGCCAGGCGGCGAGGCGCGTCGGCCCGAGTGCTTCCTCCCGCTGGAGCGGCGCGTGCATCCGCGCCCCGACGCGGTCCAGTGGCCGCGGCCCAGATATCGCGTTGAGTTTGACGCCTGCCCCGGGGGGGCGGGGCCGCGCTGTTCGAGGGCGCGACCCCAGTCGCGTGGTTCGCGACCTCGTGGGGCCAGGAGGTGCTCGACGTCTTCGGAGCCGTTCTGGGCCAGGCAAAGTACCAGAGCCTGTGGGAGTTCCTCGCGCTCCTCCTCGCGCTCATCATTTGGCGGCGCCACGCGGAGCATGCCGTGCTCCACGTCATCGGGGGCAGCGTGGCGGCCTTGCAGGACGCGATGCAGCTCAGGGGCAGCGGGGACATGCTCGTCGTCGCCCGGGAGATCGCCTGGCGGGCTGTTCGGTGGCCCCTGCATTTCGAGTGCGCCCACTTGCCCAAGGAGTTCAACCTCGTCGCCGACGCCCTGGGCCGATTGGCGGCCGTGCCTCCCGCGGCGTTCCCAGCTCAGCTGCGCGGCGTTCCGCGGAGTTCCGTGCCCGCGTGGCGCCAGGTGTGGCGGGCCCGGGTTCCCGAGTGAGACGCGCGCCCCGCTAGTCGCGGCCGCGTGCTCCGAGGCGCCCTGCGGTGGTCCGGGCAGGGCGGCGCCGGGCCATGAGGGCGGCGCCGTCGTTCGGCTCCAGGGGCGCAGGCAGTGCAGGGCGGCGCGAGACGATATCAACAGAGGGGTGGCTTGAAAAGTTTGCTTTCGTCGCCCCATTCCCCTCCTCGCCCCGCCGGAGCCCCCCGGGGGCGCGGCGGCGCGCGGTCTGGGGCCGCCCCCGCGGGCGCCCGGCAGGGGGTGTATTTTTTTCTTGAGTGCCTCCCCCCCCCGCCTCCGCTGGGGGGGGCGCGGGCGCCCCCGGGCTTTCCCCCGGCGGGCCCGGGGGCTGCCGGATTCCCCGTCGACGTGGCCTCAGAGGCGGCCAGTGCACAAGTGACCTAACGTCGGTTAGGTCATTTTTGACATCGGCCGCCCTCTGGCGCCGCCAGGGGGCGGCTGGCGGCCGGCCCGGGCCCGGGCTCGGCGGGGGTCGCGCGCGTGCCCCAGGGGTTCTGGGGGCCGCCGGCCCCCAGCGGGCGCCCGGAGGCGGCCGGTGCAAAAGTGGTGACCTCCCCGGCGGGCGCCCGGAGGCGGGGGGCCGCCCCCCTCCTCGGCTAATTATGATTTGAAACATTCCCGCCCACCCCCAGTCCCGGAGTGCCACGGCCCGAGGTGGGCCGGCTCCGCGCCGTCGCCCACAGCGCGCCCCGCGCGCCATGGGCGCATTCCAGCCGCGGTGGGATCTGGCAGCCAGCCTGGTTGGACGCAAACCGTGTTAGGTTGGGCAGGATCCAGGCCCGGCGTCCGCCAGGTATCGGGGTAGTGCACCCCTCGGCGCGGCAGTTGGCAGCGCGTCGGGTCCCGGCTCGGCGCGGCCGTGCCTGGGGCCAGGAGGCGGTGGCCCCCAGGGTACGGCGGCGCAGCAAGGGGGGGCCATGAGGCCGTCGATCACTGGGTTGCGGGACGAGGCGCCCGGGAGCCACCAGTGCCGGAGGGGGTGCCTGGCTGACCTCGCGTCAGCGCAGGCTCAGGCCCGCGCCCTCGAGCAGTTCGACGCGGAAGTGCTGGCGACGACGACCGCGAATTCGGAGGCGTCGCGCCGCCGGGCGCTCAAAATCATTTTCGAGCAGTGGGGCGTCGAGATGATCCCGCTGGCCCGGCAGAAATAAGGCGGCTGGGTGCCGTCGATACATGTCCGCTGCCTTGTGCCTGTCGCTGGCGAAGAAGATGCACGTGCAGGCCGACCTCGAGTTCCCCCCCTCCTTGGGCCAAGCCTTGGCCGAGGCACGGCGTTCGTGCGAGCGGGGGCTCGGGCCAGACCGCAATGTCGAGGGCATTGCGATGGAGGCGCTGGCCCTGCTTCGGACGGACGCTACGCCGCTGGTTGCGGGGGGGCCCGCCGACCCCCGCTTGGCGCTGTTGGCGGGCGCCTGGTGGCCCACGCGCGAGATCGAACTGTCCGCGGCGCCCGCGCACATGGTCACCTTCCACGCAGGGAAGGGCGGCCGACTCGCTGCCGCGTGGTTGTGCCCGCGTCAAAGACGGACACTCGGGCTCTGGGCGTGGCCCGCGCGCGCGGCTGCTGCTGCGGCGCCAGAGTCTTCGGCAATGCTTGCCCGGCCCACGTGCTGTGGGCCCAGCGGTCCTGGCTCGGGGCTCGGTTCCCTTCGCGGCATTCGGCAGACGGCCTGCCAGCGCCAGATCTGGCCTTGTTCCCATACCCCGAGGGCAAGGTGTGCGAGAAGGACGCGGTCGTCGCCACCATCCGTGCCGCTGCGGAGGCGCTCGGCCTGCCCGCGGTCTCTGCACTCTCTCCGGGTGTCCGGCGCCCAGAGCCTCGCCCGCGCTGGCTTAGACATCTGGCTTATCCAGTTGTTGGGGCGTTGGGGGGGCGGCGCCGTCCTCGGGTGCATCCGGGTTGGCGGTGTCCACGACCTGGGCGCTCCGGGCTTCTTGCGGCGCCCCCTCGGGCGCGTCGGTCTCGCTGAGCCTGGGCGAGGTGGCGGGCCAGCTCGCGGCGACGTCGACGGGGCACCGGGCGCGACGTGAGGGCGCCGCAGGTCCTGCGACGGCATCGCTTCTCGACGATCTTCTCGAGCGGGTTCGCTGCCTCGAATCCAGCGCCGGGGAGGGGTCGATGGAGCGGGCGACGATCCGCCTCGACGTCGCGGAGATCAAGAGGTACCTGGATTGGGGGTCCCTTCGTCTCCGGTCAGCGAGGAGGAGTCCGGCCAGGGCGCGCCGGCGTCGCCTTCTGCTGGCCTGGCCGATGACGTTGCCCTCGCCAGGAACGAGGCCAGTGGCGTGTGCCATGCAGTGCTGGTCTTCGACGCAGCTGGAGAGGACAGCCAAGGACGTCTCTGCAGGTGCCTGTGCATTTTGAGTGCGGCCGCAACGCTGTGCGCGTCAATGCCCTTCCCCGGTTGTATAGAGACCTCTGCGGACGCTGCTTCCCAGTGCTCCGCAGGTCGCGCAAGGCGGTGCTGCGCGGTAGTGCGGGCCCCGGCAGCGCTGGTCAGGATGGGCCCCGTGCTCGCGGACCGCGCTAGGCCGGGTGCTGCCGCAACCGCATGAAAAAAAACATCGCATGCGCCCTCGATGTTGGGAGTCAGTAGGTCCAGGCGGGTCGGGGGGGCATGCCGATCATGGGTAGAAATTGTTGCTAGTGGCCGCTAGGGCGCGTGTAAAAATTTCTTCGCTCTGATCCAAGTGGGGGGTGGGCTCAGGATGGCTTCTCGCCAGCCTTCGCCGGACGTGGCCGTTTTGGCTAAAGCCGGCGAGTTGCCAAAAATTCCCGCCCGCCCTAGTCCCGTTTCGGACGAATTCTGCATTTTCCCATTGCGCCTGGGGGCGCGCAGAACGCGGGCCCCGTGCTCGCGGACCGCGCTAGGCCGGGTGCTGCCGCAACCGCATGAAGACATCGCATGCGCCCTCGATGTTGGGAGTCAGTAGGTCCAGGCGGGTCGGGGGGGTATGCCGATCATAGGCAGCAATCGTTGCTGGGCGCCACAATGGGGAGCGGCCACGGGGTGAGACATTTTCCCGCTGGCGCCAAGCATTCGGTGATATCTCACGCGAGACGTTGGCTTTTTGAGGTGGGCGTTTTTTTTTTCCGGGCCGTCACGAAGAAAACGAATGCTTGGATCCGTCCCGGCAGTCGCCGCGGTACTGGGGTGACCGTCGGATCGATTATTTCGTTGTCGATTTTTTGGCGCGTGCCGTTCAAACCTGTAGGGCAGCCCCGCGTTGGCAAATCTTGCGCGGCGGTTGCACGACGACGGTGGGCGCACCATAGAACCCTTCATGACAGCCCGTCATTGTCAAGATCTTCGTGGCGGTTGTAAGACGGGCGAGGGCACGGTGGTCGCGCGCATTTGGGTGTTCACATTCGTTATGGTGCTCGCGTGTGGTTGGCTAGACGTCAAATTTGTGTAGGTTTTGGAAAATATGTGATAAGCCTTGGCTGGGTCGTGTGCGGGCCTTCGCTGTGCTCTGGGTAGGCCATTTTTCAGGTCTTGAAAGGCCGCCAGGTAGGCCTGAGGCGGGCATTGGATAGGCCGTCGGGCTGACCTTGGGCAGGCCTGGGGTTTCGTGGGCAGGCGTTGGGCAGGTGGCATTGGGTTTGCTCCAGGTGGGCCTTGGACGCTCTGGGTCGTCTAGGCCTTGGGTGGGCGTAGAGTGCGTGAGGGGTGTGCCGAAACCGGGCTCATTGAGCCGTCTTGAGAGGTAAGAGGGGGGGACCGGGTCCGGGGGCCGGGGGCCGGCGCCTCGACCGCAAATGTGGGGCCCGGGCGTCATCTTCCTTATGTTTTAGCATGGTTTCGGCGACCCGGGGCCAACAGGGCCCCAAGAGGCTGCAGGGAGGCCCCAGGAGGCCGCAACGATGGCTCCAGACGCCATGACGCCAAGAAGGCCCCCGAAGGCCCCGAAGACGCCCCAAGAGGCACCCCTATAGAGCCCCAGTAAGCAAACATCTTCCATTTCCTATAAGGAAACTGCTATTTTTGGCGTGTTTGCGTTTTGGGCTTCCTCTGCGTCCAAAACGGCCCCCAAGACTGCCCCACAGGCTCTCAAGAGGGCTCCAAGACGACCCCAAGAGGGTCCCAAGACGGCCCGAGGGGCCCCCAACTCAGTCCAAGAGAGCCCCAGGGCAAGCCCCAGAGGTGCACAACCATATTCAAACTCCGAGCTTTCGGTCCCAGAGGCTCCCAGGAGTCCCCAAGAGGTCCCCATGAGGCCCCAAGAGGCCCCCCAGAGGCCCCAAGAGGCCCCCAAGAGATATGAGGAGGCTCCCAAGAGACACCCCAATAGAGCCCCGAATAAGCAAACATCGTCGATTTCCTATAGGGAACTGATATTTTTGGCGTGTTCGCGTTTTGGGCTTCCTCTGCGTCCAAGACGGCCCGAGAGGCACCTAAGACGGTCGAGGATGCCCCCAAGAGGGCTCCAAGACGGCCCACGAGGGGGCCAAGACGGCCAACGAGATGCCTAAACCGCTCAACAAACGCCCCAAGTCGGCGCCCCAAGGAGGCGGAGGCGGAGGCGGAGGCGGAGGCGGAGGCGGAGGCGGAGGCGGCGGCGGCGGCGGAGGCGGAGGCGGAGGCGGAGGCGGAAGAGGAGGAGGAGGAGGAGGAGGAGGAGGAGGAGGAGGAGGAGGAGGAGGAGGAGGAGGAGGAGGAGGAGAAAGAGGACGAGGACGAGGAGACGGAGGAGGTAGGGAGCGGGGAGGAGGAGGAGGAGGAGGAGGAGGAGGAGGAGTGTCAGTGTCATGAGTGTCATGATCGCCGCAGTCGCAGTGGCAGGCGGGACTAGCGAGAGCCAGGAATTAACCGACGCCCCTCCGCGCGTCGGACCCGACTGACGGCGTCCTCCAAAACAGGGGCCGAGGGGCCCTTGTGGCCTGGGAACAACCCTCGGCGAATTCGAAGGAGATTCTCGTGCCCTTTAGGGCACTGGGAACATT